GCAACACACCAATCAGAGAGCAGCAGTGAGCACACCTCAGGCTGTGTTTTATATTTGTATTCTTTATTTCTGATTTATTTCACACAAAAACTTTTAGTGGAAACGTTTTCACTTATATGATTAAAAAAAAAAAAACGGCAAAGTGGCAAGGCTTTCCCACCCTGCGTTGGGGGGGCACAGTGACTCATTTGGGGGGGGCATGGCCCGCGAATGACCCCCCATGACGCCGACCCTGTGTATAATAAGAACTGGATACAGTGTCGGAGGCGGGGTCTCGTTCTTTCCTATGAGAGCTGCTCATTGGCGCATGAATACAAAATGGCCCAACTTTTGACAGAGCGAAACGTCACAGATTACCCGTCATGCCTGGCTGTCAGAGGAGAAGTACCCGTATGTGCGCTCATAGAGCATGCACAGTTGAGTTGCCCTTATGCCCCACCCCCCGAGCTCCTACTCTCGGCTCACTAGAATGAATGGAGAGAGAAAATAAATCTAGATTCGGCTTTTAGTGCATTTTACAACTTTAAGGACCTAATGATTCTAATAAGGGCTATGAAATAGTTCACACTGGGTAGTTTATTTAGTTTAAAAAAAATTATCCAACGATTTACAGACGTCTCTTTCCCCATGTTAGTCAATGGGAAAAAGTATTTCTGGGCCCAGTGACGTCACGGACTGATACGGAAGTTGCAGTACCGCCGTTTGGAGACAACGAATATTGGGCACAGACTCCGGCGCACTTCCTGGGGGTTTGAGGTCAGGGCTATTGTGTGTGTTGTAGCGATCAGTCAATGGCGGGAAGCTGTGGTCATCTCATGGAAAATGTTTGCAGAGAGCGCACGAGAGCCTTGGAAGCTAGGGTGGATGCCATCTCTGCTAAAGAAATTGGTTTGTTCCCAGAACAGATTAAAATGGTCTATGAATGTAAAGTTGAGTGATGGACAGATTGCGTGTAACAGGCTAAGCAGCCTGCTGAAACGTCCGCTACCTCGGCCCAGCGTGGGGATCGGACCTGATTTGTTATTTTCGTTAAACAGACTGTTTTAGGACTTCAGACTGCTGCCTGGTGATGTCGTTTGTGCCAATATGGACTATAACACTGTGGACATAGGGGTGTCTGCTTAAGAGGGACGGGAACTGCTGAAGAACATCCCTAACTTTTGCACCGGGTATGCAGTGAGTTATTGCTCTTTTGGATTTGATATGCCTGATGATATAGTCGCTCACAGTGGTACTCACAGAAAGAACACGATGCCGGTGTTGGACATGGCGTATGACAGACCCAGAACGCCGCTGCCCATGATGGCGTTGCTCAGGTTGAACACAGACATCCCAAAGGAGGTTTTACCCTCAAACTGTAAAAGACAAGACTGGATTATTAACCTAACCAACACAAAATCTACAAAGACTTCATTTTAGGATGCACATTTTTGATTGATGTTTCACAAAAAGATGCATATAACTGTATTTTACTAGAAGTCCTGCAGCGTGTTTGAATGATAATCAGTTGAGGTCTGCATTAGCTAACAGTTAAAAGTTAATAAGCTTCCAAAGGGAACCTTATTTTTTATCTGTAGGAAAATGTTAATGTCTTCATACAGGATATACAAACATTGACTGGCCGACATAAGGCTCAAAAACAGGAGCTACACCTTTTTATAGCAGGTGCTATGTATTGCTTGTCAGCAAACGTAATGTTAATAAATTATTTAAACATATTATAATACAAAGATTACAGACCTCAAGGGTAATATATGTTGTCTAGGGGACAGAAATTGACAGAATGTGGTAGGGTTTCTGTTGGTCAAACACTAACGTCCAGCATTACATTTGTTTTAGATGTAATGGAAAAATAAGGCCACAGGCACTTTAGTGACAGTTTCAGTTTGAAGCTGCATACTCTTTGGCCATTTTTTTATAAAATAGCAAGTAACTAAATATACAAAAGAAATGTAGGACAGTAAAAGTACACAATTTACCTCAAAATTGTACAGTAAATAAAAACAAGTACAGTACTTGAGTAGATGTACTTAGTTACTTTCCACCCCTGCTGAGCAACACTGTGCTGTGGGGGTTGTGTGTGAGCGTGTGCACTCGTGCACAGTGACAGCTATACTCACGTCTGTGAACTGAGGAGAGAATCCATCACTCTTGTGAGGCAGGAACTTCTCTTCCTCTGGTGGGACTCTGTATCATTCACAAACAGAAAAACAAACCAATCACTGCACAGCTTCAACATGAATATTACTTGATCCACTAAGAATTCACAGCAATTCAGACAAATAGTAGTCACACAGAGGAAACGTACCCCCCCTCCACAGGTGCTACAGCATCATGGTAGTTCCCATTGGACAGATTCTGCAGCTCCATACTGTGACCGGGACACGGGAGGACCTATTCTGTCATATATAGGGGAAGTCTGAAAAGAGGAAACAAAACACAACATAAAACCATGGCATGTACAGTAAAGCCATTACAGTAAAAAATATGAACAAAATGACATATTCTCAATGATTTTAGTCCAATCATTTACCATACTACAAACTTCATTTAATGACAGATGCTAAAAGGCATGCTTTACATTACATTTCAAGTCAACTGTATTTATAAACCACAACACCACAAACCGTTTACAAGCTGTAGAATAAATAACACAACCTATGCCTGGCTCAGAACCCTTATTTCCATGCAGTAAAAAAACCTTTAACAACAATCTCTAAACAGAGTAAACCTGTGGACCCTCAGGAGGAGCAGCAGAGAGCAGGGAGCTGTTCAGGATCAGATCAATGGACAATGGTTTGTGTCAAACTGCACGCTGACAGGCTCAAACTGTTGTTGATAAACTTCAGAGATTTATTTTACAACGACATCACCTGAAAGTGTCAATTTTGAAAGTGTCCAAAATCAAAGCTCAGTGAGTTTCAGCGAGCTGTTCTGACCGTCTCTACCAACCACATAATGGATCAACGAATAAGACAACAGTGGCAATAGACTGACAAGAGAAATATTTAGCCATGATGTCATTTCAATAAACGTATCAATAGCATACCAAATAACTACATAATTTGACTGATTAGTAAAAACTGAATGAATGATTTCACATATCTCTACGGAAACGAGGACAAGCTAACAACTTTTAAAATGTTAGGGCAAGACTCGTGTAGCTGCTACCACATCAACACTCAAAATAAATGTCGCTTCTACAGCAGCAAATATATGTTTGTATACAATACACTATGGTAAATATGCACACATATATAAACATAGAATATTTTGTCCGGTTCCAAATATGAGGTAAAGCTCTGGGAACCGGATTTGGATCCGGTTCCCCTCCATTGATTTTTCAGAATGTCAGTGACGACAGCAGAAACATCTCAGCTCTGACAGCTTTACAACAGTTACACATGTTTTTTGTTCTGAAAATGTACAGAACCATGATGCCAAAACTGATCCCATATATACTGACATATATTGTTTAAAATAAAACACCTATCCATATCATGGTTATATGTCAGTATTGTGTCTATACTGTAGCTCTTCCATACGAAAAAATTGTATTGCTGCAACTTTACGTCTTAAAAGTAAAGAAGTGTTTGGCACAGTGTCTCTGGTGCGATGCTGTGAGAGTATAGCAGCTGAACAAGGTTAGAGTATCAAAGTCAGAGCTACTCTGTCTTCATTTAACAGCATACAATCAATGAAGGCAGACAAAGCAAGAAAAAGTCAACTTCACAAACAGATCAAAAGTGGCTACATTCAACCCTGTTATCAATGTCAAAGTACCCATCTGAACCCACTGAGAGTGTTGGATATAGGACAGCAGTTAACACATAGTGGTGGGAAAGCTACCAATCCTTCACACTGGAAGGAGTTAAACTACAGCAAAGCTTATAACCATAGCTACTAGAAAAAAGTTAATTAAAACTACTGTACATTGTTAAAAAAAAAACTGAATTGTTCACGGGTTATTCTGTATATGGTTTGCTCGCCCTTAACATCTGACTTTACAGCTAAAGGATAAAAGGGGTAAAAAAAAAAAACACATTAATTTCCTTTTATGGTCTCAATGTTTGTAGTTTCAATAGTAAACAAAAACGGATTTGACTCTTTAAATGACTATATAAATGTAGTTGAACTACTGCAAAATGCTGCTAAACGTTTAACTTAAGACTCACACTGTAAACACACATTTGTCACCATTGTATCTTTTAAAGCCAATGTATCTACCCTAATAGAACATGCATAGTTCCACACAGGGACCAGAGGGCTGCACCATCAGTCAGCTGTGGGGGGTTGTGTCCCCCTGATGAGTCATTATTCACTCCTGAGAGAAATGTGTGTCTGTGCTCCACAGCTTCTGTCTGCTGTGTGATGTGAGGTTACAGCGGGTTTATTATCAGAGCTCTGTACTGAACCCAGCGGGTCACTGGGAGATGAGACCAGTGAAGCTGACCCCCCAGCTGAAGGAGGCTGAACACCGTAGAGATTCTGAGGATTATTTGTATGCTTGTCAATGTCAGTGACACCTTTCACACACTCACAGTCATTTCATGCATGTCTCTAACTTATCCATAACATTTTCTATATCTATCTGTCTGTCTGTCTGTCTGTCTGTCTGTCTATCTATCTATCCTGTATATTGTCTGAACAGAGAGTTTTTCGACCCCAGTGAAGGCGACGTGGCTCTGCAGATAAGCGTCTGGCCAGCAGCCAGGTCTGGACGTCCCAGTTGTGGATATCTGTTCCCTGTAGGCGTCAGGAGCGACAGACAGTGATAGCAGCTGAGAATGACCCCCCCTGCTCAAACATCCCTGAGCTGGTTCCTCAGACATTGACATTTCTTACAGCAGGCGTCACCATGGACTCTATTTGTAAATACTGTCCATACACATGCTGTACATTCTCATGCTGTGAAGTGTTTTATGAGCTACATATATTTTCATACCTTCAAATACTAGTCTCTTTGCTCTAGAAATGAGTTAACCTAAAAGTATTGCTTATAGAATTGTTAATTGATAAATTACACCGTAAGTTAGCATGTCATTACCAGGTTCTCTGGCCGTGGTGTAAAGTAACTAAGTGCATTTACTCTGTACTTCACTGAGGTACTTGTACTTTACTTGAGTATTTCTATGTTATGCTACTTTGTACTTCTACTCCACTACAATTCAGAGGTAAATGGTGTACTTTTTCTCCACTACATGTATTTAATCCCTTTAGTTACTTCACAGATGTGGATGAATGATGTGAAACCTAATCAAGTGTTAAATCAGACTTTAGTTCCACCTGGAGTAAATCCACAAGCTACCCTGCATACAGAGTCATTCAAACTAGCTGCACCTTTACCAGCTTTGAGAACACTTTCATGATCAATAATTATAAAACATATCATATATATTATTCTGAAATGGACCAATCTGCACAATGACTACTTTTACTGTTGCTACTTTCACTATATTTTAATGAGAATACTTTTCTACTTTTACTTGAGGAACATTTTTAATGCAGGACTTTTACTGAAACAGAGTATTCCTACACTCTGGTACTTCTACTTTTACTGAAGTGCAAGATGTGAGTACTTCTCTCACCTCAGTTCTCTGGTTATTGGACATGAGTTATGGATCACACAGTACTGGAGTTACTTAAATTATATTTAGAAGAAGGATGGATGTTTGCATTGAGTTTCAGGAGGTTAAAGAGACATTGTTCAGCCCTCAATCATTTCTCTGATTAGATCATCTGCACCTGGATGAGTGATGCATTAGCAGATGTTCAAATTCAGGTTCAAACAAATATTTGATCATGTGTGTAACATGATCAAATATTTGTTTGAACCTGAATCTTATATTACGTTAAGTCACTAACTATACAGGGCTATATCCCACTTTTAAAGCCATGTGTCCCGCCAGAACACTGCGATCATCAGATGCAGGTCTATTAGAGGTCACCAGAAAGAGTCATAAGAAGATCGGTGATGCAGCCTTTGTAAACTACGCCCCAAAAACTGTGGAACGCGTTTACCCACACAATATTAGGGAAGCCAATACGTTGACAAGCTGCCTTTTAAAAATGTCTATCTCTTTACCCAAAGCATTTGACTGACCTGACACTATTATATTGCAATAATTTCTCTGTGATTGACATTGCACTATTTCCTTATCGTTTTATTCCCCATGTTTTTTACGTTTAATTATTTTATCCCACTTTATTGCTTTGCTCTTGCTGCTTGTTTTACACTCGCTTTTATGTCTTATGTCTTACTGATGTTAAATCTCTTTGAACTGCAATCCCCTGTATGAAAGGTGCTATACAAATAAAGTTATTATTATTATTATTATTATTATTATTATGTGTAAATAATAAAAGCATATGAATAGTGACAGATGACCATATTTAAGTTCCCTGTGGCTGGCTGCTCCCCTGAGGCTATCCAACTGTGATCCAGGTTCACACACCCAGCCTGTCCACCAATCAGATTCAAGAGTTTCTTGCCACCACTTTTGGCCAAAGACACATTTGCAACTGTAAACACAAAGTTTTATCTTCGAGGTTAGACGCTGTACCATGTGCTTTAATAGGTCATTGTGATTTAAATGTTTGTGCACAACTTTATTAACTACATTATTTACTAATTTAGAAGGACCATGCCAAAACTGTGAACATTATTTTAAATGTCCAACTTAAGCTACAGGATTTTATCAAATCTAGCCAGCAATAAAACCAGCATGAACAATACAATAATAATGGCTGTGTCTAAAGTTAAAAACCAAACATTTACCAATACTTAAAGCTCATAGTTCATGTTATGTTTATTTAATCTGTACACAAGTAGCCCACTGTTCCTGCAACCCTATTCCTCTATGATAATTCTTATTCTCAATTTTTTTCTATAGGATAAACTTATTGATTGGAAGTCAAAGTTGTTTTTGACAAGATCCAAAGATTTAAGCCAACAGAATGACATATGTCGACATGTATCAGTGAATAGAACACAGGCAGTGTTTTCCCAGACAGCCACAGTGAGGTAAGAGGGAAGGGAAAGTGTACAATGTGTGCCTGATTTATGCCCCGCCCCTTTTTCCAAGCATGGATAGTGTATGTATATTTGCAGCTTACATAGCGTCCCCCTCCTCCTGTGTTTTTATTTTGGGTTTATTCCTTAGTTTTTTTATGTGAAGTAATTATATTGTTCTTCATTCCATTACATCTTTATAATAACCTACAGAATGACATCATGAACCAGCTGAGGCTCATGTTATCCCCAGAACTGTAAAACTGTGTTTTGCACTTGTTTTGGTATTTTGGTCCATATTTTTTGTTATATTATCAGATGTTGACAAAAACTTATGTCATAAAAGTCGTAAGTCGTAAAGCGCTTTGCCAGAATCTTTTTCTCTTCACTTGTTTCTTCCTCCCAAATATTTCATTTTAGTCATCAAGAGTCTGTGATTTCCATTCTTGATGTGAATTCTTAAACTGAAAAATGTCCGACAATAAAATGATAACAATAATAGCCACAATAGAAAACAGCTGACCTCACCTTCACGCAAACCATGGTAATTTGACAGTCACCTTCAACCATAGTAACAGTGTTAAAAACATTCATTATTTGGAAAATAATTTATAACAAGCAAAAAAATGGATTAAAGATTAGAACAATAATTGAAATGATAGGAATGTACAATCTCAAGAACCATTGGTCATTATGAATATTTCTAGAGAGTTTGAAACTTTGAGTTAAGTTTCTCAGAACAAGCTGGAAGAGTTCCACATCTGGAGCACAGCTGCATACAGCTACTTTAATGAGTCTGATTTACCTTTAGAGTCTAACACTCTGAGCCCTGGCTTTAACAGAGCTCTTCTGCAGAGCTCCTGAAATAACCAAACACGTGGCAGAGCAGCTCCAACTCACCCCAAAGAATGGAGAGACTCACCGCTGCTCCAGAAGCAGGCCTGGCTCGGTGTCCGGAGCAGACGCAGGGTCTGTGAAATCCTGCGTTCAGAGGAGTAGTTTGGGCAGGACTGGAGTGTCTTAGAGCCCCGAAGAGAAGCACAAAGCACCTCAGGGAGAAGTCGGGGAGAGGGGAGCAAATGTGTGAGCAGGGAGGGCTGCTGAAAATGTTGGTTTCAAGTTTCTTGTGATGTCATATGTAGAAGCACTCCTCTTCATTTCCAAGAAGAAAAAAAGTGAGGTATTTCTCAGGGCTCTGGTGATGGATTTCTCTGTGGGGAATTCACTGGGCTGTATGGTCGGCTCATACACTCTGGGCCTCTTCAACTGTTTCCATGTTTCAACTCTCTCCACTGAGTTGTGGCAACAGCAGGAATATGGGGAGGAGATCAGCAGTTACACAAGCCTGCTGCTGCTGGGCGGTGTGTGTGTGTGTGTGTGTGTGTGTGTGTGTGTGTGTGTGTGTGTGTGTGTGTGTGTGTGTGTGTGTGTGTGTGTGTTCCAACATTTGGAATGATTTTTCAACATGTAAAAATGTTCTTGAGAGTTTTTGCTGGAAAGGAGATGTTGGTACAAATACGTTAGTAGGCAGTAACGGGTTAAACAGTAGGGTTATAAATGAAAGTACGATTTCTCGGGAAACTGTGTTTGCAAGGGATTTAATAATGAATAGCATTTTTAAATGCAGAAATTCCAAAGTACGTACAGTATATACTTAAATACATAAAAATAAAATGTTTGCTCAGGACTTTGAGTATTATTCTACCGGTGAATCAATATATTTGTAGGAAAAGTTTGGGACTGCAAATGTACGTTAGTACAGAATATCCTGACTCCTGTACGACAGCGCAGCGGGAACTCAAATAAGAATATTAACCTACAAACTGCTCGAGTGTACAACCGGGTCCACGGTGTTTCTAACCATCACACGTTCTTAGAATAGAAAGGTAACAAACACACAGAGACATACTCAACTTCCAAATGAATTGAATTCAACTTCAATGTTAAGCCAAGACAACAAGTTTTAATAAAACAAAATTTTCTTCAGCATTTTAAATTAAGTACAGGAAAGGAGGCTTTGTAGGTGTGTTAACCTTACCCCCCCTTCCCCTGTTAATCACAAAATCCCCCTCTTTACATGTGAGGACCACACTCATCTGCATTTTGCTGTTATTTAACTCATTTTTTATGCATAAAGGTAACACTATGCATACACTATGCATACACTATGCATAGTTACATATTTATACATCTTTGTCATGAGAACACAGGTTGGCATTGATTTGTACTTTATTTTTAAATCTGATATAAAGTGGTTGATAGCCTAGCCCCAACTCTCAAATAAGGTAATAATTAAGTGTGTGAGCCAAATTATTATTGATTCTGAAAATATGTTTAAAGAAAATAATCTTCACAGGAAGTAAAAAATGGTGAAGTGATCACCCCTTTACACCAAGGGACCACCTTCAGCTCTGATGGACCCTCACTGCACAAGGCCTCCAGCATTAACCAGAGATGGTCTCAATAGCACAAAGCCAGGCAAAACTACACTGAGAAATCTCAAACATTGACTTTAATGAAAGCTTATGTCAACACATTTCACATAACTGTATTAGGTTATTGTGTATATTAAGTTGAACATAATATTTTGTATAAACGTAATAACATAATACAGTTATGACAAATCTGTTGACATTATACATTTAATAAAAGTCAAAGTTTCAGTGTTTTCAGCAGTGGCGTTTTCTCCTGGAGGCGAAGGGAAGCCAGGCTTCCCCTGTTTTTTCGGATTGTAGTTATAATTTTAATAAATAAATAAAAACACTTCGTTTAGTTTCGGAAATTCTTTGTTGTGTGTTGCTGCCGGCCCGTCTCTCCCCATTCTCATTGAGTATTTTACAAAGAGTGAAACAGCGCCCCTCTAGATGTTATGGTGAAACAGTAGATTGCACTCTCTGTTGCGAGAGGAGGCCAGCCAAAATTTGCTTCCCTTGGTGAAAAAAAATGGAGGGATTGACCAATCAGATGAGGCCCACGTCATGCCCCTGCCAACCTGTGATTGGTCAGGGCCATGCCAAGGGAAGCCAGAGGCGGCTGGCTTCCCTTGCCTCACAATCCAATCAAATCGCATCAATTAGTGGTGCAGTGACGCGTCCCAAAAAGCGGAAGTAAGCTGCGCTTGGTTTCCCTCGACAAAATAGCAATGGGATTTCTCCATAGGATTTTGAAAAATAGCTTGAAAAAAGGTCAGTGGAAAACGGACCTGTTAGGTAAATGCACGTTTTGTTCAGTCGGATAATATCCACATGTCTACCCTACTTTTATAATTTTCGAATCATAAATCTAATCGATAGAAGATAGATAGCGTCACTGCACCACTCTCACCGCCGTTAGAAAGTAGCAAGCAAACTGAAGCAAGTGCAATTATGGAGGGTGGAGATTTGGAGTATTTAATCAAAAGTAATTGTACTAAACTTCCGCTGCAGCAGCAACAACAAATACAATCTGATGACAGGCCAATGCCCAAACTGGAGCTGTGTACAGCGAGGAACAAAGGAGCGAACCGGACGTAAAACGTTAAAGGTCTCCTGATTTAGTTTGTGAATGAATGCTTATTAGAGTTTGGGCTGGAGAGTGCGTGCGGACCTGTCGGTCAGATAGCAGGCGTGTGTAAGTCCTGCATCTGTATGATACAAATGTGTGTAAAATGATACCGGGGCGCT